TGCCAACTGCGCAACGGTCGCCATTTTCGTGGGCTCCGGGAAGGTCCAGCGGAGGCGATTGTCCTCGCAACGTGTTCTTGTTTGTATGGAGCGTTCATATACTAGCAGTCGCCTCGCGTGGAGAAGGGGCTGGGTACTTCTCGGGAAACTTCGCAGCGTAGTTCCCCCGAGGCCTGCACCCTGAGCGGTTTTCTGGCGATCCCGGACAAGGGGAAGACTCGGCCAGGCTGAGCTCGGCCAAGCTACCCTCGGCCAAGCTGAACCTCGACCCGGGTTGGATTCAGCCTGGCCGAGCTCAGCCTGGCCAAGAGCAGCTTGGCGAGCTCAGCCTGGCCGAGTTTCGCCTGGCCGAGTTCCGCCTGGCCAAGTTTCGCCTGGCCGAGCTGTTTCTGGCAGAGTGCAGTTGCTGCGCAAGGGCGCCGCCGGGCGACCGGCGGGGGGGGCCTCAGCCCCCGGGGTCTTCCCTCGTCAGCCCCCCGGCGCACCCCTGAGGTGCCCCCAGGGGGCTCCCTCCACAGACGCCCCTCGGGCAATGGACAAAAATCAGAACGGGAGGCTTTTTCATATTTTCGGCCTCTGGGGCCTCTTACCGGCCGGAGGGACCGTCAGAAAACGACTCAGGATGACAAACCGATCCAGGGGAATGGGTCGAGACCTCCAGGGGTCGACGTAATGAAAACATCATGACGTCGCGGGTCTCGGTCCTAATTTGGCGGGTGGGCAGGGCGGGCGGGGAGGCGTGCGGGGGAGTTGGGGTGGAGGAGGGGGCAGTGCACAGTGGGCAATCTCAGTGTTGTGGAGTCGTCTCGCCGTAGCCCCCAGCAGCTGCGGAGCGGAGAGGAGTGGGGGGGATGGTGGGAGGATCGGCGATCGTCGGCAGTCCGCGAGGCCCGACGAGCAAAGTTGATGAAGCCCGCCGCAGGCGCCGACTTCCGTACACAGCATAACCGAGCCCGCCGCAGGCGCCTTGTTCTAGTCAACGCAATGTGGATGGGTCGCGGGATGGGCCGCGGATGAGTCGTGGGATGGGTCGCGGATAGGTCGCAGGGTGGGCCGCGGGGTGAGTGGGTCGCGTGGAGTTGGCAGGCGAGGACGACGACAATAGTAATAACAAAATCAGTAATTTGAAGATTGTTCGATCTTTTTGCTCTCGTGTCGTTCAATATGTATATCCCGAACCCTCGATACTCGCCCTCTTCGTCTTCGATCGTACCCTTCTTGTGGGCATATATGCCTTGTTTCGCACACCGCGGTTCCGGATAAGAGTGAGGGGGCGGGCGCGGGGTGGGTCGCGGGTGAGTCGCGGGCATGTCGCGGGATGGGTCGCAGGGTGGGTCGCGGTTGGGTCGCGGGTGGGTCGCGGGTGGGTCGTGGGTGGGTCGTGGGCGGGTCGCGGGTTGGTCGTGGGCGGGTTGCGGGTGGGTCGCGGGCCGGGTCGCGAGTGGGACGACGACAGCAACACACAAACAAACAAACAAACGACCAACAAACCAACCAAACAAACAAATAAACAAACCAACAAACAACAACCAAGACACAGCGCACAAATGACAACAGCCAAACAGCAAAAGACGAACAACGAACAGAGCAGAACGCACAACGAACAACAATCAACAAACAACAATCTACACCAAACAACAATAACAGCAACGACGACGACAACAGCAACAACACCACCACTACCAACAACAACACCAACAGTAGCAGCAGCAGCAACAGCAGCAGCAACAGCAACACCAGCAGCAATCCGCACCGCGGTATCCCACTTCAGCCACTCACTCAGGGAGAGTGAATGACCGCTCGGCCCCCTCGCTCTGGCCTGCCACGTGCAGTTGGCGCAGCCCTGAGACGAGGGGACGGGAGGGAGGAGGGCAGGGACAAGGTGGAGGGAGAAGGATGGAGCACCAGGGAGGAGGGAGGAGGGAGCACGAGGGAGGAGGGAGGAGGAGGGAGGAGGGAGGAGGGAGGAGGGAGGAGGGAGGAGGGAGAAGGATGGAGCACGAAAGAGATTATCAGGAGGGGTGTTCGGAGCAGGAAACACAAGCGGCAGAGCAAGACGGGCCGGGCAGGGCGGGGCGGACCCGAACGCGCGGGTCGGACGGGGGGGGCCCAGGCGGCCGGGTCGAGCGGGCGGGTCGCCGAAGCGTCATTCCCTGCATGGATCGCGAGGAGGCCTCGAGCGACAGCGCAGATTCCGAGTCGAAAGCGAGAGCGTGATTCCCGAGTGGCGAGGGCGCGGCGTTTGAACAAGTTGGAAGGACTTCCACGCGAGAGCGCGCTGTTGAACAACACTGCGAGGAAGTATCAGGCGGGAGGCGGTGTTGTCGCAAACTGGGGGGGCCAATAACACAGTCTGAGGCTTGAGAATCACAAGGTGAAGCCCAGGGTGATCAAACATAACTAACGTTTCATTGATATTGAAATGATTTCAAGACTGATCGCTTTCATCTGCTCGCGAGGCAAGCAATCATCATGTCTCGAACCATCGAAACCCGCCATC